CGCATTACCTGAAGGGTTTCTATTTGTTCTCAGAGCAGCGCAGGAGCTGGTACATATCACACCAGAGCTTATTTGCCTTTTGGGTTCAGATGAAGACGCATGATGTTTGATTTGTAGGAAGGGTCCGTGAAGGCTTGTTTTCCATCTAGGCAGGGCCGGAAAGCTGCCCTTTCCCGAATGTCGTTAACGCTGGTGTTCCACGGGGACTAGAAACCTCAGCACATGAGCTGTTCTCCCGATAGTTAGCTGCAGCAATGCATTGTGGGGGGTGAACTGTCAGGGCCAGTGCTGTTCCGGAGTTACAAACAACTTTTTAAAAGCTGCTTTCGGGAAGAGGGCTGGTTTTTAGCCCTTTCCAAAGGTGGCTTTCTGGCAGGGAGGATGGTGCCCAAGACAGACCCTAATTTTTAATCCTAGCTGAAGAGCAGCGGGTAGGTATGTGCTCCAGTCGGCTGCTTGGGGGATGGAACGGAAGAACGCCTCAGGCTAAGGGGACTAGGTGTGTCGGGCAGCCCATTGGATATATCTACGTAGCCCTGGACACCTCTGAGAATTGCTCTTTGGAGCTGGGACAGTCATTTTCCATGTCTGTACAGCCCCAGGGGCCCGGTCTGGGGGTGGCCTTTGGGGGCCACCACAGTGGAAACGTTAAATTCCCACATTTGCTCCGTGCGGTGGCCAAAGAACTTTCCCGGTGTGTACGCCAGGCTCAGGAAGACCTGAAATGTTCGCTCGACCAGTTTGTCCTGTTTTCACAGCCCTTTCCTAGCCCTGCCAAGGAGATAAGAGCTCTCAGGTAAACCCAGAGGAACCACGGGGCCTTTGTTTACTCTTTTCAAGGCCGGTTTTGTTACTCAGCTCCCTGCAGAACGAGGAAGCGAAGGTGTGGCTGGCAGGGGCTGCTATGGAGTTACCGGGGAAAAGTCTCTTACAGATGGAGGCTCAGCAGCATTTTGGGAAACAGCCGGCTATGCCGAATGCAGAATGCCTGTTGCCGAGGGTGATTTGCTGGGCAGCACACACCACCGGCTGCAATCCGAGGCCTGCTCCACACACCCTAGGAGGCCAGGGCCAGACTGTCACCTGTCTGCACTGAGGAACGAGAACACCGGCGGGACCCCAGGAGGGGGTGTGTGGCGTGTGGGTCTGGGCACAAGGAGGGAAAGTGGGCCCCTGAACTCTGGCTCACTTATAGGGTTGCCAGGTGTCCGGTTCTGAACCAGACAGTTCGGTATTTTTGCCTCCTGTCTGGTAATAAAATTCAGAAAATAGCAGACACCTAAAATGTCCTGTACTTTCTGATTTTTTCCCGGGTGCTTGGTGGGTTTTGCAGGGGAGCTTTCCGGCCTGGCGCAGGGAGGAAAGATGGTGGATGGCCGCCGGCAGTGTGTTAGGGCCAAAAAGCCTGAAAAGGAAAGCATTTCTTAAAGAGGCCGCTCTGGGTTTTTTTTGCTCAACAACTTTGGTCTCCCCCCCACTTTTTTTTCCTGCAACAGAATTTTTTCCTGGTGTTTTTCTTTGGGGGGGGAGGGGGTGTCGGTATTTTTTGTTAAACCATCTGGCAACCCTACCTTACCCACCTTAGCCATTGGTGGGGTCATCCTGTGCTCTGGCTGGCAGATCCCCCGAAGGAGGGGGACAGGCAGAGACTGAGTGGACTGAGTGGGGTCCACTCTAGAAACACAGCACAGCTGGTTTAGGCCATCAGCACATTACACCCCTGTGGCCCCACCAGGGGGGCAGGAGCAGGAATAGTGCCTCAGAGGGGTGTCTTTGAGGAGCAGGGCCTTGCGGACCTAGACCTACGATGCTGCATCCTATACACTCCCCGCAAGGCACAATCTTGCCCCAGTGAGCCCCACAGTTCAGCCCCACTGCAGCCAGGTGTCAAGGCCAGCAGATCTGGAGGGATTTCTCCCCGGGGAAGGGTCACTCAGTGGCTGGTACAGCCCCTCATGATCAGGCAAGGGGCAGCAAGGTGATTCTGGTCCGCTCCCCGTCACTGACAGGTCCTCCAAGGCTGCAGTGATTTGCCCCTTCTCGCCACTCAGCCGTCCGCTCAGCTCCCCACCTCTTTGGGAGTGGAAGAGTTCAGCTCGGCAGTCCTTACCCCCTTGCGTCCGCAGGGCATTCCCTACCCTTCTGCTGGTGGCAGGAAGGGGATCCCAGATCCGCCCTCTGCTCGGATGCCAGTCCTGGGACCTTGCACAGAGCAGCTAAAATCTGCACCCTCAGCCTCACTGCTGCTTCCCTGGGCCACCTCCTGCCTCCAGGGGCCTCCAGCTGCTTTTGCAGAGCCACTCCCTGCAGAACTTTGCCCCCCGGGGTCCCGGCTGCTTCTGTCTCCTTTGTTTTTCCCCCCCCCCCCCTCCTGGCAGGGTTGCCAGATGGTTTCTGAAAAAAATACCTAACAAATAAGAAAGGATCCTGAGAGTTGTTAAGTGAAACAAAATAAAATAAAATAAAAAGACAGTGTGGCCCCTTTAAGAAATGCTGTTGAGGCTTTTTGGCCCTAACAGGCTGTCAACAGCTGCCTGCCATCTTGCTTCCCTGTGCCGGGCCAGACAGCTCCCCTGCGGAACCCGGTAAGCACCCAGGACTTTTGCCTCCTGGACGGAAAAAAAAAAAAAAAAAAAAAAAAACCAGACATTTTAGGTGTCTGGTATTTTCTGAATTTTTTTTTTAACCAGACAGGAGGCAAAAATACCAAACTGTCTAGTTCAATACTGGACACCTGGCAAGCCTGCCTCCTGCTCTCTGGTCTGCAGGCTTAGTGCGGATTCCGGAGGAGAAATCAGCTGGCTAGTGTGAGCCTTTCTCTCAAGTCCACGATGGGGCAAGCGTGAAAGAAAGCAAGATGGTCTGGCAAGAACTTCGTTTTAAGTCCTCACCGTAAACCAGAGCCAGAAATAAGCAGTGTGCTCGAGGACAAGGCATTCATTTGCAGCCCTCGCAGGGGGCTTGTCCTTGCTTCCAAGCCATCAAAACACACGCAACCTCCTGTTTTCATCCCCCGGTTGGCCAGGCAGTGTGACGAGTTCCTCGCATTGACCGACCCTTTGTATGTTGCACGTTGAGGAACCGGGTAAAAACGGAGGAATTGATAAAAGCGGATTGGAGAGAGAAATCAGCTAGTTTCTAGGCCCGGCGCACGTGTGCTCCCAGCCATCAAATGATCTAATCCCGCTCTTTTCTAGCCCGAGCATTTGGCTAGGCTGCTTCTTTTGAATCACATGGCAGAGGCTTTTGTGCCGCTGGTGCACTGGTGCACAAATGCATTCAGGACCAGTGACCAGAAAGAAAAAAGAAGGCACGGCTTCCTGTCACACCGAATCAAACTCACTGGCTGTAAAACTCCTCTCCCTCCCGACCCCAGGCGAACCCTTCAGACTGCCCTGCGCTCAACTGCAGCTCTCCGGAGACAGTCTCCTGGGGAGTCTCCGAGCTCTCTTGTGCCCTCCTCTGAATCACACATTTGACAGCATGTGGAGAACGATGGAGAGGGCCGGGCAGAGAGGATAAAGTTTGTCGGACAGCGTCGTTGGGAATTTCTGCTCCCGAGAGGCATGCGGGAAAGGCTGTTGGTCAGGAAGGAAACTCCTTGGCAAAGCTGCGGAGAAACTTGAACACATGATGGCATCTTGCAGGCATTAGTTGTTTCTGGTTGCCATGGACACTAGAAATGCACTCCCTCCTGAACTGCCAGGAAGTCAGCTCAGCATGGACACGGGAACACGTTTTATGGGTATAGACGCCATACAGGAGTCAATGCAATTGGCCTCTCCGGGAAGCCACCCAAACTGATGATTCAAGGTGGAGCAGCTTTGCTTTCCACCACTTACCTCGGCGTGCAGTGTAAACAATTCTCTCCCCAGAACAGGAGCAGTCTTTCCTGTCTCTTTCCGGGTAACGATGTTAACTTAACACCCTGCAGGAGTCACAGGGCACAGCTCTTAGAACGACAGAGATGATCATTCACTCGGAATAAGAAGTGTGGCCTCCCCCTTCAGACTCGGTGGCTGTGTCTAGACTGGCAAGTTTTTCCACAAAAGCAGCTGCTTTTGCAGAAAAACTTGCCAGCTGTCTACACTGGCTGCTTGAATTTCCGCAAGAACACTGACTCCTACTGTCTGAAATCAGTGCTTCTTGCAGAAATACTATGCTGCTCCTGTTCGGGCAAAAGTCCTTTTGCATAAGGCTTTTGCGCAAAAGGGCCAGTGTAGACAGCTCAGATTTGTTTTGTGCAAAAAAGCCCCGATTGCGAAAATGGTGATCGGGGCTTTTTTGCGGAAAAGCGCGTCTAGATTGGCACGGACGCTTTTCCGCAAAAAGTGCTTTTGCGGAAAAGCGTCCGTGCCAATCTAGACGCTCTTTTCCGCAAATGCTTTTAACAGAAAACTTCTCCGTTAAAAGCATTTGCGGAAAATCATTCCAGTCTAGACGTAGCCAATGTGTGTTGCGCTGCTGAGCTCATTCCAGTGGGTGTGGGAGTGCATTGGTCCGGTCAATTGGATGCAAGGGTAGTCTGCTCTTGGTGCATCACGCTCTTTAACTCCGGTCATCTGAAGAAGTGGGCTGTGCCCATGAAAGCTCATGATCCCATCGACGTGTTTTGTTAGTCTATAAAGTGCTACCTGACCATTTGTTGTTTTGCTCTCTAATGAGTTACCCTCACAATGGTCCTGAGAGGCAGGACATTGTACAGGCGGGAAAGATAGGCACGTAAAGATGAAGAGACTTGCCCATGGTCACACAAGAACTTGGTGCCAGAGCAGGGAACTCAACTCAGGTCTCCCAAGTTCTAGTGAGTGCCTTAAACACTGGACTTTACTCCTGATCTGAAATTTGCTCTGAAGTCTATTCCGAGAAATTCTTCGGTGCCCCTTTTTCCACACACTGTCCAGAGAAGGCTGATACGAGTGAGGGCCCTTTGGTGGCCATGGGTAAGGCGCTCCGATGTGGGTTCTGAAGACTCCCGTTATTCTTCGTGTGATTGTTATGTTCTGTTGTAAACTGTCCCCTTTGTCAAAGAGAAACAACCAATCCGAGGCTGCCGCAAAAGAGCAAATTTAGCCCTGGTGTAAGTGCATGCAATGCCATTTTAAAGCCATGCACCATGCACTTTAAAGCCATCACCATGCACCATAATGCCATTTTAAAGCCATCTAGCTATGCAAAGACTGACTCTGGCCCCAGGTTGTGCGCTGGAGCCACGCCCCGCACACAGACCAGGGTGGCTCATGCATGCAGAGTGCACGTAGGCATGAGACAGTCACTCCTTCCGTTCTTTTGAGCCACAGGACAGAAATCAATGGGTTTCCTACCCCCGGAGCACATCGGAAAACAGTGATTTGCCAATTTCAATCTCCTCCAGTCGCTCCCCAATTCAGAGCCCACCAGGTCAGCAGAAGTTCAGCATCGCGCAGAGGATGAATTAATTTGTTTGCATAAAACCCAAGTCTTTAGTCAACCCCCTGTTCAAACGGAAGCTGGACATTTCTGCTAGTTGGAGCAAATATAGTTAACATTCCCTCCATATAGTATCAGTGTTGATATGGATAATACATGCTGTAGAGGGTAGGGATGTAAGAACTAGTCAACTATCTGATAAGTATAAGCATATTGGATAGTTGAGTAGTCCCTCAGCTACTTGATCCCCTCCCCAAAGAGGCAGCAAGGTGGGGGGGGCAAGGGGCCAGTGTTGGGGGGGGGGGCTTAAAAGCCAGTTCCCCCCAGCACTGTCTCCGGGGGGCACAGGGAAGGCAGAGGGGCAACAGGGACCTGGTGCAAGCCGGGAATCAGCTGTCCTGGTGCACGCCGCGTCTCCCTCTGCTGCACTTCCGATTTTTAAATGTATTAAGAGCCTGCTGGCTCTTAATACAATTAACAGGCAGAGTCGCAGTGGGATTAGCTCCTGGGGCCAGCACCTTCACAGTTTCCCCCGCTTATTGACTAATCGATTAGTTATAAATGGCGACCTGCTCTTTTTTAAGCTGCCCACTCAGGAGAACCATGTAGCTATTTGAATCTACGACCTTGTTAGTTTTTAAAAACCAGCCAATAAAAATACCAGCAAAGGAGCTACAACATTCCAGACACTGAAAGTGGCGGCAGATGCACATGCATCTTTGAAACCAGATTTTGGCCTGGGACATTCCCTGGGTGAGGGTGCTACATTTTGAGTCCAAGATTTAGCTGGCTAAAACTGGTGTATGTCCACTGATGTAAAAAAAATCAGAAATTAATTCTGACGGAGCTTCACTGATTTGAACCAGAAGGCTGCGTCTACATTGGCACCCCTTTCCGGAAAAGGGATGCTAATGAGACACTTCGGAATTGCAAATGCCGCGGGGGATTTAAATAGCCCCTGCGGCATTTGCATGAACATGGCTGCCGCTTTTTTCCGGCTCGGGGTTTTGCTGGAGAAAAGCGCCAGTCTAGACGGGATCTTGCGGAAAATAAGTACTTTTCCAGAAGATCTTGAAAGTAGGAATAAGGGATCTTCCGGAAAAGGGCTTATTTTCCGCAAGATCCCGTCTAGACTGGCGCTTTTCTCCGGCAAAACCCCGAGCCGGAAAAAAGCGGCAGCTATGTTCATGCAAATGCCGCGGGGAATATTTAAATCCCCCGCAGCATTTGCAACTCTGAAGTGTCTCATTAGCATCCCTTTTCCGGAAAAGGGTGCCAGTGTAGACACAGCCGATGAGTATCTCAAACTCCCTCTTGAGGCAATAGCCAAACGCAATGGACGAGGTTAACACAATGGGCTGCTCCTTTCTCCTATTGGCTTTGCTGGCAGCGGGGTCAAGACCTAACTATTTTTTTCCACAAACTGTTCACTTGGTCTAGTCTCACGTGGAAAGAGAAATACGAGATCCGAGCAATGCTATTTCCTTCTGTGAGTCACCAGAGCCTTAAAGTGCCTGTAAAGAATGTACTCACTCCAATCTTTCTTCCTCTTTCTTCCGCAGATCAAAGTCCCGTTGAACCACATCCCAAACGTGCTTGGCCTCTTCATCGGTTAGCTTGGAAAGATCCAGTTTCCTTCCCATCCTAGCACGAAGTTGTGTCAGGGGAGCTAAAACAAAACAAACAAAATCCAATGAGAGCAATAAAAAATACTCCAGGAAGGTCACCTAAGAGCTAGCCAAGATGTGCGTTTATTGGCACATTCTTTGCCAGGAAAAGTGCACGCCCATGCATCTCCGGGGAGGCGTTTCATATTGACAGAGGGATGGGATTTCATTTCAATGGCTTGGTGCGTGAGCTGATGTGGTGTATAATGGGGGGCCAGTAGGGACAATGCCAATCACTTGCTGACATAGCCTGCCTTCAGAGAGAGACCTTGTGGCAGTGTGAGGTCTACAGACAGTCTCCCTGGAATTCGGGGAAGGCTCTCTTCCCTCACCCAGTCGTACTGAGAGAGCCTGATGCACCTGAGCCCTTGATTTGGAGAGGAAAATGCTCGTTATTAGGTAGCGCTTTGTAAACGGCCCACGCGCCTGAATTACACCAAACAACTCCCGGCCTGATGTCTGAGGGACTGCGTGACAGGGCTTCTAGAACCTTCTCTGCATGCCATGGCCGCTATAGGAGGAGAAATTTAATCTCCGTGGGCGCCAAGGCTGGCTTTTGTCAACGTGTGGGCTCTCCCTTGCCTTATTTGCTATGCTAGGCTGCAGGGCTAACGGGGTTCAAACCAACCGGCCCTCAGGCCTTATGGCCTCTTGGATTTTGAGAGCAAATTCTAGTTGTGCTGGCTGTGGTCCCTGCCTGCTGACTCCCCCTTGCTGGCTCCTCCCCAACTGATATCAGCTACAGCTCCTTGATCGTTAGCCTGGCCTGAGCATCCATGGACAAGGGTGTTGCTGTCCCTCAGTGATGCGCCACCGCCTTTGGCCTGCTGAAAACACTCTTGAGGTACCTGCTCCACCCAACAGTCTCAGAACATCATTCCCCTGCTTCTTCCGCATCGTTGGCCCATTTCTTGCTTGTCTGATGTGGCCCCAGCTTTGTCCCATGCCTAGTTGGGTTGCAACTTATGTAGCCGTGCCACCGTACCATTAATTTTTGCACCCAGAATTCACTAGTGTCACCGTCACAACCACAATGGCAAGTCTGGTTTCGTTGCACGTGCACAATTATGGAGCGCAGGAGGTTTAAAACTCTGGTAGCTGTTAACAGTGTGAAAGTATATTTAATTTCTTCCCAGAATGGGGGGCCACACTAGCTAACAGTCTCCCATGTGACCCTCCACGTGACTCCACCCCCCCAGCTTGTCCTTTGCCTCAGCTCTCCATCCCACATTACCTGGGGAAAGGGGCACTGGGGGTGGTACAGCAGCGTGAGGAGCTGCCCCCTCCCAACGGGGAAAAAAGAGCAGAACTCCCAGCCCCCCGCCCCTTACGCTTCCACGGAGCTGCCTCTCCGCACATGGCAGCTGGGTTGGGGGCGGGGCTGGGGTTCTGCTCCTTTCCCCATTGGGCGGGGCAGCAGCGCACAAGGTCAGGGGAAAGGAGGTTTTCCAATAGGCCGTGGCGGCTATAAACAGCTTGTGGGTACAGCGTATCAGCCTAGCCTCGCTTACTTTCACCTCTGGTTATTCACAAGAGCCCTAACATGCAGCACAAGCCGCAGGATGACACCTAAGTTCTTCTGGTTGCCACAACAGGCCTAATTATCTCCTTTCCTTGTCATTCACTCACTAAAACATTTCTCTGCCGCTCAAGACAAAATACTCTGGGTAGCCAAAGGACACTGTTTTCTACATTTGTAGGAGCAAACGTTACTGTACATGCTCCTCCCCTCTCTGGGCACTGAAGCCATGTGGAAGACATACTAAGGAGGTACAAAATTCTGCCTGAGAAGTTCTAACAAAGCCTCATCGCAGCTTGTTAGCTGCTTTATTTCCTCTGTCAGGCCCGAGAGAGAGTCATTGAGCTGGGTGATTCACTTGGGGCATCTGGTAGAGTAACATCAGCTGGCCTTGGGCCCGAAAAGGACTTCAGGAGAGCTGAATCCAAATTCAAATGAATTTGGTGTAGACACGGAGTTCTCAGGAGAAGCCAGTACGCACGGTAAGCCAATGCTTTTCCTTTGAAGCCAGGAATCTATTGCTAGCTCACCTATGATGCGTCTACACTGCGCCTGTAGCTTGAAATAAGCTATGCTATTTCAGCTATGCAAACTGCGTAGCTTATTTCCAAATTTGGCAATAACCTACTATTCCAAAATGTCCCTTAATCCTTTTGGAATGAGGTTTACAGGCATGTTAGAATAGCAAGCCTGTTATATTTTGAAATAATGGCCTTGCTGTGAAGACGCTGGATAGCTATTTTGGGATACTCCGGTATCCTGAAATAGCATTGCGGTGTAGATGTAGTCCTAGAGGATTTGGGGGCCCAATTCATTAACTGGCAGAAGTAATCAATGAGTTTATCAGCAAATTACATAAACTAATTTGAGAGTGGCTTTGCATCAGTGAATCCAAACAGCAGGTCAATAGATGTCCAAGGGCTTTTTTGTTGCAATTATCCCAGGACCTCTTGGGCATGGATTTGCTTCTGTTCCAAATTCAAGCCTATTCATACTTGTACTGAGTATGTATGCGCCTGTTTGCAGTTTCCAGTCCCTTCACAAACACAACACCACATATGGTGCCCAGACAAGGAAGGAAATATCTTGTTGACAAGACAGTCACACGCTTTTGGTCCCACCAGGCAACAGATCAAGTGATTAGTGTCATATCTCACTATATAGAAACTTACTCCAATTAGAATAAAATTGGCACACACAACCAACTGCTTGTACAATGATGACAAGTTTGACAGCCTGGTCTTAGGCCATATCTCTACTTATGTACCGGAGATCAATCTTCTGGTGTTTGATTTAGCAGGTCAAGTGCACCCCATGTTGGCACTGGTACTCCTTGCAGTGGGAAGAAGTAAGGGAAGCTGACGGGAGTGTTTGCGCCTGTTGATGTCCCACTGCGAAGACAGTGCCAAGCTTAGCTTAAGGTATGTTGAGTCTAGCTACATTATTTACGTAGCTGGCGGTTGTATCTTAAGCCGACCTTCCGGGTCTAATATAGACCTTGTTTTACTCTCACTGCTATTAGAGTAAATGGTAATGCTTCCCACAATCTTCAGCAGAAAGAGGATCGCTCCTTATTTTACAATGTGAAGCCTAGTCTGAAAATGTTATAGGGCCAGATTCTGCCCCCCTATCTACCGAGTGGTGCCTCACACCCAGGAAATCAATGGAATAGCTTTTGAAGGAAGGCACCACGAAGCCCAAGAACTGAACACGAAGCTTCAGCTCATTTTCTTGAGTCTCATATCACTGAAATCACCCAAACGCTCACCAACGTCAAAGGGACCCAGGTCCTGCCACGAGTGTAAGCACAATGCTTAACTGTAAGAAGTGGAGTAGACTTGCTGGAATCGATTTTGATAGCTCATCAATGGAACAACCCACATACTCAGGCGGGTTGAAGAAATGGAACAGCAGCAGAGTTGGTCTAAGAGCTACCCGTTGGTTTTACAGCTCCTAGTAGCAGGCCTTCAATATTGTGGTTTTCATCAGCAAAGTTATCTTGGTCAGCAATAGACCCACACGGCGGTCAGACTCAGCAGCAGCACATGAAAGTGACATTTCACTAGAATTCAACAGCCACGCAATAAAATAAGGTCTCCCTTGATGTAGTTCGAGCAAATGAGCAGCATTTAAATATTAACCTCTCTCGGACCTCGTTTCCAATGGGAAAGCCATCCCCTGCTGGTGAACGGCACATACTGACGGAAGCTCGTTTTTTTAAAACATCCATTCATGGAATTGTGCAGCGTTACGCAAGAGCTTTCCCCAACACAAAAGCCACACACAAGCCCTCCTATTTTAAGAAGGAGACACCAACGTGACCATCAGCTGATTTCCCCCTCAATTTCCTCCCCTTACGAATGGATGAATAAAACACCCACAGCTTATGAACGTGAGTCAGGAGATGTTTTACGCAGTTCACTGCTGGTCACCACGGATGAGTCCGAGGGAATCGAGCTCCACCTCATGGAAGTTCAGACCCGCTGATGGGGGGCGGGGAAGGGAAAGGGACAACTGTCCGGGGCCTGGTGATTCTAAAGGGCCCAGGGCTCCTGGATGCCATGGCAACCGGCATCCCTGGCTCTTTAAATCGCCACTGGAGCCCATGTGGCGCGATCC